ATACATGACATTATCAGAAAATAAGGTCCATGACTATAGTAAATTTACAGTCAACATTCCTAAAATTAGATTACGGAGACTATATCCAACATTTTTAAGATTACTGAGTACTTAATTATATAAAAAAAGCATTTTCCTGTCATTTTTAAAAATTATGTTGAAACAGATAAAGTCTCCATAGAACAACAATAAAATTGTCAATATCTTCAGAAGCACTTGTTAAGTGATTTGCAAGCGGTGACAAGCACATAATCAATACTGCTGTTTGTTTTAATAACCCATTTCTCTGATATTTTCAACTTAAAGTAAATAATATTTGTTTCAAATCAGATTAATTATACTTTAAATCAACTAATATTTCTCAAATAAAGTTTCAGAAAAGTATATATTTTTTGGAAGATTTTTTAATAAAGAAAATTATATTACAATGACAGATGACTAAAAACAGGTGCTAATCGGCTATTTTTAGCCAAAAAATGTGAATTGGACTCCAATCAATATAATTTCCATTTGAAGTACATTACATGGCATTTTGGTTACTGGAAATACTAAATTTAATCCTTTAGCTTTCGATTAAAGCTAAAATGAAAGCCTAAAGAAAGTTTTTTAATTTTTAAAATTCATTTTAAACCTTAGGTATCACAAATTATTGGTGAATTAGTGGAGGTACCTAGTCTAAAGTTAGCCTTTGTCCCAAAATGCATAATGTAGTATGTGATTCACAACAGGAAATACCAGAGGTCTGAATCAAATTTAAGGTTGATCTAAGGAGAGTTGATCTGTGGTGACACCAATATGTATTACGAGATACCAGAGTAAGTTTGTACTCAGTGTCATCTCAAAATACCTAGGAGCCTCAAGGATTGACCTAGAAAGTGACCTCAAATAATTGGTGCACATTTGGTCTTCAAAGGATGTTGGTTGGTGCATTAGCATAAAAAAGGAAGTGAACTCAGTTGAACTTAGGATATATACATACAAGACAACCAGATAACTAGAAGTTATATAAATATTTGATCTACAATGTAATCCCTCACATCTTTGCAAGAAGATCAATTGCTCAAAGAAAAACCCCAAATCACATTCCCTTGTCATGGTAAATGAATGAATAATAATGATTTTATATATGAAACATTTATTCTTATATTCTTATTAGATGTTTCTAACATAACTTTATAAAATGCCACAAAGGCAAACTTAAGTTACTATGCCACCAAATTCACAAACCAGTTAGGCTATTGTCCTGTGGGACACCCCTGATCTTAGAATTTGGAGCCTTAAATCTATATTGCCTGCCTTCTGCTGCTGACCTCTCTTGCCACCACTTCACTTTTCTTACTGCTCCTGCTGAAGCCTTGCTATGAAATTTGGCTCTCTCTGCTGGTGTTTCTCTTTCTTTCTTTATGAATGGCTCTCATATGGTATTTATTTCTATACTAGGCCTACCGAGGAGACTGTCATAAAATGTCAAAAATAAAACTTTATTCATTTTATGGAGAAGGTATTGTGAATGATTTAAAGTGTCAAAAGTGGTTTTTGAAGTTTCATGTTGGAGATTTCTTAATGAATGTTGCTTTACAGTCAGGTAAAACAGTTAAGATTGATAGCAATCAAACATATTACTTGATGTGGGAAATAACCAACATGCTCAAAATATCCAAATCAAGTGTTGACCATTTGCATTAGTTTGGATATGTTAGTCATTTTAATGTGTGGCTTCAATATAAGGGAAAATCCTCTTGGACTATATTTTTGTGTGATAAAGAAAATGTTTGTTTTTTTAAATAAATTATATTAGGCAATGCAAAACAGATACTTTACAATGTAAAAAGCAAAATTGATTGATGAATTTGCTTTTGATGGCTTATCAACACATTGTGGGTTATTTAAAACCAAAATATATTTGGGATTGTAAAAATAATTCTTTTTTTTGTGAGTGAATATTGCATTAACAATTCTTTGGAGATAATGATTTTTCCAGATACAAGTCATACTATTTAACCTATAGGTGGGGGATTGACAGATTCATTCCTTTTCCCAAGGATATATACACATAAGTGAATGCAACAAACTTGACTGGAATTCAAACCCAATTCCACCATAAAAAGCAAAAATCATGGAGTAAGTGGAATTAACCACCACTAAACCATATTAGAAGACTATCTTCATCAACAGAATTTGATGGTGGTAATGAAAGGAGTCTTCTACTATATGCTAATTCTAGTGGAGTAAAGAATTGATTTGAAATATTACTTTAAATTTAACCAAATGAAGGCATATTTCATGAAGATAATGCTAGATTGCAAAAGTTTTTACAGCTTAACCAGGAAGACTTAACTTATCTGCTGTATTCACCAAATGTTGCACCTTCAGATAATTGTATTATTCAACTGGTTCATGTAAACCAGTTATTAGAATTGAAGAAGTTTACAGATTCAATTCATGGATTGTTGCAAAATAAAAGTTTTTCCTTATTTATTACTAAATTCAATAACCAACTTTTCTGAAAATTAAGTTAAATCACCTGTGCAAACTTAAAAAATTAAATTTTTTCTTATTTTTTTTATTAAATTCTGTTGACATTATTTTTGGATAATGAAATATGGAAATGACAAAAAATATATAACTAATAATTTTAATTAATTCCATAAAGCAAACAAAAAAATTAGAGATGTTAAAAAGGAAAGAACCAGTTTCTAAAAAGTTTGAATTCCATCATTCACTTTGAACTACCATTTATTCTGTTTTTTATAAAATTTAAATTCTCTTAATGGAAGAAAAAAATGTAATTTCCATGGACAACTTCAAAAAGCACCTAGGCCTAAGATAATGGAATTATGAAGTTGCTTGAAGTGGAACGAAATATTAAATAATAAGTCTAATAACATTATTTACATTATTCAGACTATTGTCCTCATCTTTGTTGCCATATTTATTACAATGTTTTGGCTGTTTTATGCTCCAGCCTTCTTCAGGTGGTTGGATTGTCGAACTGAACCCTTTATTTTGCTCACTTGGGTAGACTGTTCTAGTTCCACATGCCATGTTTTAATGGATGTCAGTTATCAGTTATCTCCTGTTTCAGTTATCTCCTGTTAATTCCCCTCTCCAAGTTCTCCACTACCTTAACTGAGTATTGAACTCACACTCTTTGGGTCCTGTCACTGGATCTAACTAATGCCTTTATCCACTGTGTCATGTGTCCTTGAGGAAATATAGACAGATACATAAGTCTAATATTGAGATAATTTTCTAGTTTTGTTACGTTCTTGCATAATAAAGTATTTTCATGATTCAATATCCCTTAGGCTCACCACACACACACACACACACACAAATAACCAAAATATCTTCTTCATGGTGAGAGACAACATAGATGTCACCAATCTGACAACCATGCATTCTATCTTCTTATAATTGATATTTAGTCTTTTCTTCTCACTTTCATTTACTACCTTCTGTAGGAGGTCCTGTTGTTTTCTTTCTCTGTTTGCTGTCAATATTGTCATCTGCATATTTTATATTGTTAAGATTGTGGCTGCCAATGATGAATCCTGATGGAATTCTTAATTCTCTCAGGATTGTTTCATTTTGAAGGTTGAATCCAGTATGAAGACATATCCTTGTCTTAGGTCACATTTTTATTTTGGTGCATTTATTGAATTTTCTATCCATATACAGGTAGTTTGCTCCTAGTATATGTTCTGGATTATTCTAATATTCTTACCAAATAAATCAAGCCTGCATAGCAATTCAAGCAGTTCTTTCTGTCATACTTTATTAAATGCCTTTGCATAATCTATAAAGCATAGGTATACATGCATTTGTATTGCTCTTTCAGATATTATTCTCAGCATAAATATTGCATACCTTATTCCAGTGCCTTTAATGAAATTTCACTGTTCTTATCCTATTTCTGCTACATATGCTGTTCATCAGAATTCAGATCATAAGTTTTGTTATATGGCTCATTAGGTTGATTATGCGATGGAGTTCACATTTGTTTGCTGACTTCTTGTGCAGTGCTATGAAAATGGATCTCCTTAGTTCTTCCAGCATATCAGCACTTTGTATATTTCATTTATTATGTCTGTAATTTTCTCAATGCCCAAATCTACTAAATTTGTCAGCATCTCAATTACAATTCCATCTGATCCTGCAGCTTTGTTCCTGGCCAGTGTTAAGCAGGCCAATAGAGTAGAGACTCTGCAAATCCGGACACTCCAAGTCTAACAAATACATAAGCATACCAATAAAATTAATGTATATAAGAAAGAAAGAGGGGAAAAAAGACATTGTCCTTTTTAATAAACCAAAGAAACTTTTTGTTAATCAAATAGCATGCAAACATTGAATGTCTTATAGTACTTATTTTGTTCTAAAAATTTTGACAAAGGATAAAAAAATCAGTCTTTTAAAATTTTTTACTGCTTCAACAAAGTTTTTGCTTTAATACAGATAAACATGTTATCTTGATGTTTAACATAAAATGAAAGCGTATTTAGGCAAAATAAAAATTCAAATAAGTTTCAATTTTAAATTATAATCTGTTTAAAAAAATTTTAAACTATTTTTAAACTTTACAAATCATGTTCGAAAGTTCAAAAATTAATTTTTTTTTTTACATAAGGCTTTTTCTCATAAAAATCTCAGTTGTTTTTATTTTAGAAATACAGTTGTTTGACAATAAAATTCATGTTAAATTCTTAAACTGATTTAAAAAAAACTAATTTAAAAAAAAAACTAATTTAAAACGAGTCATAATAAGTCAAGTGTGAACGATACTATAGAAAACCGCTGTCTTTTTCATAGTTATGGTGACTTCGTCTGATTTAAATTGATTATGTCCCCCTAGTTTTATTTATTTTATTTGTAATTGTTTCTAAAACAAAAGTTAGTCTCGTGATTCTGATACAAATAGTGTCGTGTTGATTCGTATAAAAACCAAGTTAATTGTCAAGCGGCAGCGAGATAAGAATTAATGTTCATCGTGTTGGACAATGTCGTGTTTATCAAGGCATTTTCACTTAATTCTTATTTTCGGTAGTTTTTATTTTCTCACTTGGGCACAAGAAGGTAAGTTCCTTGTATTATTGCCTGTCCCCCACCCTCTTACACTCTATTTTATATATTTTTTTTCCTGATAAAATAAAATAAAAAAATGTCTAAAATTTATTTTTAATTTATTAAAATTTGTCAGTGATCTTTACAGAAATCATCGAACTAAAAAAAAAAAAAAATCGATAGGATTTTTTTTCTTTAATGTCAGTCAAGCAAGCTCAAGCAAGTGTACAACTGTACATGTACATTGTACTATGTGTTAACTTGTCAAACATTAAAGTTTTTATTGTTTTTTTCTTTTAAGTAACTGCTTGACCGGGCAGAAGAAAAAAGGGAAAAAAATTTATATTTTCGAATTAAGCATGTACATTTTTTACACATAAATGTAACTATTCGGGAAATTTTTATTAGAAACTGAGCGCGAAGATTACACTGCAAAATTACCCGAAATAAAAGAAAATATTTATTTTATTAATTTATTTTAACTACGGTTTCTTCATTTTTTTTTCGCTATAATGTTGTAAAAAACGCTTTCTCTTCTTTTTCTTTTTTGTTTATTAAACTGGAATTTTAATTTTTAACGGGAAACCTCATTTATTGCAAATTATAAGTACACCAACTACTTTCGTTGTTTGATGCTTATAATTTTTTTTTCTTGTGTAAAAAAATTAAATTATTTCCACTAAGATAATTTCCTTCTTTGATTCTAATTTTTTCTGTCCATTGGTTGTAGCCGAAAATTTGTTTTTCTTTAGTGACAGAGGCAATGGGTTATAAATTCGCGCGAACATTTTTTTTGTTTATCTGTTGCATATTGCAGCGAATAATCGAATTGATTTTTTTTTCTCCTTTTTTTTTATTGAATGATGCATGGCTACATTAAATTATCATGAATTTATGCACCGAGGTTGAAATTAAATTAGTTAAATATTTTTATTTGACTATTTTATTGGATCTTTTTTTTCCGTTTCTACAGATAAACTACGCTTGACTCGTAATCGATCGACTGTTTTAAAAAAAAATAATAATACACTGTTATTTTTAAAGTACTCTAGTAACAAATTTATATTATTCATTCAACTTTTCTTTTTTTTTAATTGTACTTTCAGTTTTTCGAAAATCGTCACATTCCGTGTGTTAGTCAGTAACCGAGAGTTAATTATTAGGAAGTGATATCTGCGATAAGTAGCCTTTTTCAAGGCATGTTATTGTCCATCTCATATTTCGAGATCCCTAATGTTTTAAATTAAAAGTGGACCAACCTTTTTTTTTTTCTAATAACAAGTTTCTTATATCATTTTTGGACATTTTGTAACTTTTTTCCTTTTTTTTTTTTTTTATCGTTATCTTACATTCTCCGATGTTAAAAAAAAAAAAAAATTTCCGATTCATGCTACTTAAGATTAAGAATGGAGCGGAAACAGTAGTTTTTGACAGGCTGATTTGAACAAGGAAAACACGCATCTAGTTGTGGGAACTCGTGATCCAGGGACGGTGCCTCGAAGTAAAGTAAAAAAAAAAAAACTAAAACAAAGTAATAATGAAAAATGCTTTATTTAAGAAGTTCTCATAACTTTAATGTTGATATAAAAAATGCACTTTCTAGAGAGTAATATTCAACAACAAAAATGTTAAAAAAAAGGTATAAAAAATAATGCAAGAAGACGAGTTTTTACTTTTTTTAAAAATTACGTTTTTATTTTTTTAACATTTTTTTTTGTCAACTGTTACCTGCAAATGCAAAATATTGGTGATAAATCTTTTTGTTTTATAAAATAAATAAATTTACGAGAAATTAAGATTAATGTTATTGTTTGTGATTGTTAAACTTTTTACCAAAAGGTGACAAGATTAATGACGGAATGAGAAACAAAAATAAATTGAAAAAAATTAACTTAAAAAAATGAAAGTTAATCATTCTTTCTTTATTTTAGCATATGATTTTTTTTGTATGATTCTTCTAACTTTCTCTAAAGTCTAAAGTAAAATTTTCATTTTAAAACTTTTTTCTTCAATAGAATTGTAAAAAGATTTTTTGTTGATCGAGTCATTAAATTACTACATAATTAAAATCAAAACTTTCCATAAATTTACAAATTTTCACAAACGATGGGGTGCTGAAAAGTTCTCGTACTGACCTTTGCCCAAATTTATGAAACATCAGATTTTTTTTAAGGCTTCTTGATCGAGCCGTTAAAAAACATTCAACTCCTTGCTTGACCCATGAGCGAAATATAATTTCATTTTAGATTGTAGCTTATTAAACTTTGAAACAAGTTAAATTTGGCACAACTTGAACCCCCCCCCAAAAAAAAAAACAGAAAAAAAAAAACCAAAAAAAAAATGTTAAGTTTAAACTTTTGCATGAAACCCGACACATTCTTATTAGAAACAATTTTCAAAGGTTCGTTACGGTGGCCTTTTGACAGTTGCTGCTGATGTCTGTTTATTTTTAACACGGTACGGGTAACACTTTGTTTTTAGTTCAATTTTTAAGGCAAGTCTTTTATTTTAAACTAAAGATTCTCTCAAAAGGCTCAACTTTTACTGTTTTTAAAATTTTTACCTCTGTTGAAAACAAGTTAAGACTACTGTTTTTCTATTCTTTTTTAAAAAGACTTCAAATACAGGCACCTGACTACCGGCTGTTTCACTCACATGATGAGAGTTAAAGAAAGACAGTATTCGTCAGGGTTTTTATTTTAGTCTCAGTTTTTACTTGTAAACACTGCAAAATTACGAGACTTAACAATTGTTATCATCATAAAATGATTAAGTTCAAGAATTTGAATAATTAAAATAGCAATAGAACGTTATCATCTTTAATAAAAAAATCTGTTCTTTAATTGTGTATTTTATTTTCATGAATCAGTGAGATAACTTTAGTTTAAAAAAGTTTAAATTTGCCTCTTTATTATAATACAAACTATATATATATATATATATATATATATATATATATATATATATATATATACACGCACACACCTCTACATTTATTAGTCACACTTCCGTACATATGTGGACATTTGTTTTCCCCAAATTTTATTTCTGTAGACTCTTTACAAACTCTCTTTAACCCTTCTGAGACTGCCTTTTTCTTTCAATTAATTGTCAGCATTGTTTTTATTAAATTGTATTCAAATTTGTTTTATTCATTGTTTTGGGCATTCAAAGGTCATTTGCTCTTTCTTTCTCTACTTTGCTGTCAGTTGAGATGTCACCTTCCCTTTTCCTTTAAAGGGTTTAGTAGTAAATCCTTCATTTGACTGTCAAAAACAAGGCCAGCAACAATTAGCAGTTGCTTGTATATATATATATATATATATATATATATATATAATATAGAGAGAGAGAGAGAAAGAGATCTCAAATCTTTGAATGTTATAAATATAGGAAAATTAGTTGAATTAATTGTTAAAAATTGACTAGAAATTAAAAGCATTAAACTCAAACTGATTAATCTTAAAAAGATAAAGACGCGGGTTAGATCCAGTGACTAGACCCAAAGAGTTGTGAGTTCAATACCAGAACCAAACTTGGAGAGTTGAGTTAAAGAGAAATCTGGAAGAGGCATGGTACGTGGAACTAGAACAATCTACCCCAGTGGATGAAATAAAGGGTTCAGTTTGAAATTCCATTCACCTGAAGAAGGCCAGAGTGTACAACAGCCGAAACATGAATATGGCAGTGAAGATAAGAATAACTCTGAATAATGTAAGTAATCATAATACCTCATCTCAGAGATATAGACAGAAAAACAAAATGAACATTAAAAATAAATATTTATACCAAAGAAAGAGGATTGCAATAATGCTAAATCAAATCACCATAAATTTTTCTGCTGTAGATTTTTATAGACCCACATGTTGTGCAGACTGTTGGATACTATTATTGTCTGTTTTATTTGTTTATTTTAACATCTGGTGACTTAAAAATAAGTTAGCTGAAAACAATTGACTGGAAGGTTTAAAATACTGGTGAAGCACTGAAGATTGTGTTTGTTTGTTTTTTTTTTTGTTTTTTTTTACTATAAATCTGACAGTCTTTTCATTTGTATATGACTAAGTATTTTTCCTTTCTTAACTTAATGTATATGCAACTTGCAGTTTAGTCTTACTGTAGTGATACTAGCAAATTAGTATGCATAATTTGCATGAGCACAAGTGAACACTTATAAAAGTGGTCACTGAGAATAATGATAGTAGAACGAGTTTAGCGGCTGATTAGTGCTAACCTCTAAATCACAACACTTACTTTAGCTGGAATTTTCCTCTTTGATTAAGGAGTTTTGTTTTTACAGTCTCCAATCAAATTCTGTATCAGTTAGAATATTGTATATGACAAGTGTGTGCTTGCCTCTGTTTTATGAAAAAACAAAAGCAATGATAATTTGATAAAAAATTCAATTATTGAAAATAAAATAAGTTTATTGATCATTATAAAATGAATGTAATTCATGTTATATAAATTTTAGGTGTTCCCAAGTGTGACACTGAAGCTCATTTTTATTTCTGTCTTCAAATCCAATTTGAATGCCATTTTATTGCTATATTAATGATAGGTACCAATTTGTCAATACATTTTTTAGCATTAAATCATGCTAATCACCTCCTTAACCGAAAGCGGTTTATAAATATTTGTATTTTGAGTCCTAAAAATAAGATTTGATGTCAGAATTTAAAATGTGCTTAATAAGTTATAAGTAAAACTTTAGTTATACAGATATGCCATTTATCTTCTGATACCCTTGGTTCTAGAATTTGCTGGATTATCTGATTTTCCAGATCAATGGAAATCATGCAGTAACAATTCAATAATGTTTCTGAACCACTAATTATCTATCACTTGTATCTCTACAGCCTCATTGTTTGTTGTTAGAAACTTATCTTAAATTACTATTAAATATAGCATTGCCTGGCGAGTTTGTCTGGTAATCGCACAAAATTCAAATGTTCACTTGTTATTCTATCTGGATTAAAAGAGGTACTGGACTGTCAGGTGGCAAAAAATTG